GTTTTAATCAAGTTTTGAGGTGGTTCATTTTGCATCAGCATCCCTTACATATCAGATGATGCCCCCTGGACACAGAGTGGGTCAGGACGTGTGTTTTTGGAGATGGACTGATTAGGGAAAACTTGGGAGGCAGAAGTTTATTGTGTTAAATGAGGTTAGTTCCCAGCTGTGTGATGTTGGAAAGGTGGGATGGCACCAAGAGCAGGAAATTACGTCTGCTTCAGATCCCAATTTCCACACGTGTAACAATGTACAAAGTGCAGTATTAGATGCTTGTTAGGACTCCATCCAGTACTAAAATGTAATTGGCCATCTTTGGAATAATAAAAGTTACCCTGCATGTCATCCAGTGTTTTGTGCATTAAAAGTACTCAATAAATGGAAATTGGCAATAGCAATGATAGTTACATCAATACTTAGATTAAAAACAGAAGTCAAAATGGGAAGATCCTTTTATCTTCTCCAGTAAGATGTTACTTGGACAATGTTTATAGGTTGAAGGACAGGTAGGAAAGAGTCTGCAGAACCTCTGCTGGAGCTGATTTATTTTTATTCACAATACTATACCTTTTGGGGAATAATAGTGCAATGAGGGATTCTGTGTACTGCACAATATCTTCACAATATTGTATCTATTTTCACAGTATCATGTTTTTTTAGATATGTTAGTTTGTGCCATTGAAGGGGTTCTATAACCTGCAAATGTTGTTGGAGACTTTATTGTAATTATTTTGATAGAATTAGCTGATGAGCAGAAGAGGGCAGAATTACACAGAAAATTCTTTAGTGTTATATTTCCTTAAGGGAAATGTTTTTTATTTTATGCCTAAAGAGATTTCTTCAGGGTTCCATGTTGGGCCAAGTGTTTTCCATTTACCTCCAGATCTTACCCAGATTCTTTGTCTCCTCTACTTTCTGCCCAGGGAGGTTGACCTATATGGAGTTGTCAGCAGGCTCCAATACCATCTAGCTTCTAGTTAGCTCTGGTCAGTGACAGGAAGGAGGGAGAAGAATGAATTCACGATCCTTATCCCTGATAGACCTCTTTGAAATCTGCTTGAGCTGTCCATTTTCTTCACAGGTTGTCACTGTTCCCCTCCAAGCAGTTGTCACTACATAAAGTTCTCTCCTTCTGAGTACTGGAAGCCTTTCTCTCTCTCCTCCTATCGGGTGTAGGGGTGGTGACTTTGCTGCTTAGAATTCCAGGTTCCTTCATTATCCCTGTGGTTTATCTATACTCTACCCTTTCATTAGTCCCTTTGTAAATTAATTCTCTAGAATTAATTTGAATGTGTTCTGTCTCCTGTTGAGACTATGACTAATACACATACCATTCTATGGATTGAAAATGAGAATGAAATGGAAACTCTGGAATATCTTCTGTCACCTTCTCACTCTCTTCCCCAGCCACTAATTCCCTTAATGACCTCATGTGCCGAGCAGGGAACAAGGCTTATAGCTGATTAGAAACAAGTCAGAAATGCTAAATTCATTTCTCAGATCTTTGTTACTGCTTTCCCCATCCTTCCTAGTATTCTTCTCTACTCCCACTTCTCTTTGTGCTATCAACTGAGGGCCTCCATCAAAAGCAGAGGTCTTATCTTAGTCTTCTTTTGTGTTTCGAGCCTGGAACATTGTAAATACTAAACTACTGCTTGTATAATGAGTACTTGGAAATGTCTGTTTCTTACACCTTCTGTTGCCAGGCATCCCAGGGCCAGTCCACTTCTCTCCCTTTCTTGAGGATATTCAATGTTTTTCTTGCCACCATGCACAACAGTGCTACTGTATATTTACTATTGTGCTGAATAGTTTTGTTGGTGCTTTACAACAGCTTTATTGAGATATAATTTACATACCCTTCTGTTCACTCATTTAAGATGCATATTGTCTTATTTACTTTTCTTGTTGCTGAGACAAAATACCCAACACCCAAAATTAAAAGAGGAAAGGCTTATTTGGCTCATAGTTTGTAGAAGTTTCAGTCCATAATTGGCTGGCTTCAAGGCAGGGGAGCAGGACAGACAGGCATCACAAAGGAGAAGCAGTTCATGGCAGGCAGAAGGTAGCAAAGCAAGCAAATAAGAGACCTTAGCAGCTCCTTTCTGCCCCTTTTATACTCTAAATTAATGAGATTAGGGTGGGTGCCAAATCATTCAGTGAACTGATTTAGTACTCACTCACCTTTAATCCTAGCATTGTACCATGAATCAATCACACACTCTAGATTTGGCCACCTCTGAAAAAGCCACAGCTATGACTGTATGAGGCTTTGAGGGGACAGCTAAGCACAAGCCATAACATATATGTAAATGAACTTTAACATATTTGCAGATTGCAACCACTACCACAATTTTAGGACATTTTTATTACCTTCTGCCCAAAAAACCAAAACTTCTACTCCTACTATTCTACTTCTATTTCATCCAGAAAATAATCAATTTTCTATCTCAAGACATTTCATATAAATGATATCCTACAAAATGTGATCCTTTGTGAGTGTCTTCTTTTACTTTGCATAATACTTTTAAGGTTTATCCAACTTGTAGTATGTATCAGTACTTCATTCCTTTTTATGGCTGAATAATATTTCACTATATAGATATGCCACATTTTACTTATCCATTCATTAGTTGATGGACATTTAGATTGTTTCCTCTTAATGATGGTAATGATTTAACAACCAGTAGTTTGTACAAAATAAATTCGGAGTAGGAACATTTGTTGATTTCCACAGTGCAAACATTTCCATTGTGGCTAATTGCAAGATACATGATGTGACTGGACACAGAATTGGAAAGAGGCTAAAATAGGCTCTTGTGAGTCCCCATGAGCCAGTTCCAGCATACCATTAACTATCTTTATGGGTAATCACTCATAGGACCAGAAATATGGTCCCCATGCATTGAGGCTTCCACATACTATTACATTAGGATAATGATGATGAAAATAAAAAGTAGTAGGTTAACTACCAATTACTGAATACTTTCTCTGTGCTAGGACAATGCTAAGCATTTTTCTATTTAATTCTCCATCACTGCTTACCTTCTTCTTAGCCATTGGCTTCAAACTACCAATATTCTATGCCCAGTTCACTGTCTCCTGGCTGGCCTCCCTGCTGTTTCTTAAATAGTTCAAACAGTTTATATTTCATAACTTTAGCACTTCCTTCCTCTACCTAGCACATTCTTGTTCCAGATATCAACAAAGCTCATTTGCTCATTTCCATCACATCTCTTCAGGTGTCCCCTCCTCAGAAAGGCTTTTCCTCCACCCCATTTCTTTATCAAACCCTTCACCAAGGGTTATTTTTCTTCATAGCATTTCTCCTTGATAGTCTCTTACTCTATACACTGATTTTCTGGCTCTTTTCCTACTATAATGTAAGCCCCCTGAAGGCAGATCTTTGTTGTATTCACACTTGTGTCCAGTGCCCAGGCCATGCCCTTTGCCTTGCTGATTAAGCTAAGAATTTGAAATTTTTGAACAAGCGCCTTTCTTTCTCCCTCTGCTTTTCCTGGTGCTGTCAGGAGGATGTGCAGAGGACATTTTAACTTAGTCCCTACAGTGCAGACAGTATGCAGCTGACAAGGATGAAAGACAATCCAGTGACATGGCTAAGAGTGAGCCTCATTCTGGAGCCAAGCTAAATGATATGCATCCCAGCTCTGGCATGGACTGACTGTATGCTTGGGTTAAATCACTCAACTTCTCAGAGGTTTCCCATCTGCAGAATGTGTCTGTTGAAAGAATTGCATTGCTCTGTTACTATAAAGTGATCACCTCAGAGCAAGTGCTTGATACACCTTGTCTGCTTGGCTCTAAAGATACTCTCTGGGAGTAAGCTTTATCACCTTGGAAGTCATGTGTGTCTCTGCCACGTGGAGGCCCCGTGGAAGTCTGGACCTGCCTCCTCTGCTATTCTCCTTTGCTGTTCCCCTCATCACCAACATCCTGGATTGGCCTGCTGTCCCAGCTTCTCCATCTGCTTTTGTGTTCCTGGAACGGAAGGACCCCTGGGCCTCAGGAAAGTGTCATCAAGCTGCTCCTCTTTCCTGGCTAATCACCTGGCTTAGCCACTAGCCTTAGAAAAGGCTCAAGGGAAACCTGATGTTTTTTTCAGCCTAACCAGATCCAAAACATCCCCAGGGCAGAAGAAAGAATGGCCTCCCTCACAGAGGAGAAATCTGTGTACAGGCCCCAGACACTGAGAGCAAAGGAAGCATTAGTGGCCCTATGAGACTAAATGGAGAAAGAAAGAGGAGAAGGCAAGTAGTTCATGAGTTCATGTCCAGTGTGTGGGACTGCCTGGAAGGAAGCCCTTGCTTCCTCAAGTCCACTGTGCTAAAAGGCCTTGCTAGGCAGGGACTCTCTAATCCAAGTCCCTGTGTGTTCTGCACCACCACCCCCATCTGAGAATTTGGTTAAAGTCATAAATTGCTCACATGGGAAACTTCACTTGTAATTTCAAGGAAATCCAGTTCCATTAATATTTACTGAACACCCACAAAGCACTGGGCAGTCCCAGGAATCCTGAGAAGCAACAGTCCACAGTCTCATCCCAGAAAAATAAGCCTGCCTGCCTCTGAGCATCCTCTTTTCCGCGGAGTTGGCTACTGGGTTCTGATCCTTGCAAAACATCAACACTTCTCCGTACCAGGGCTCCCACTGGGCCCCCGGGCCTCTGAACAGCTGAAAAATTAAGGGGCAGGGAAGGGGAGGACTGGGAGGTAAGGAAGGAGGGGGAAGGAACTAGGCGCGTTTTCTCCTTCTCATCCAGTTCCAGTCCATAGTCAGCCGAGTTCCCAACACAGACTCTGGCGGTCCAGAGCCTCTTCCAGGAACAGCCTGGCAGCCCGGCGGTGGACTTTGGCTCGTCCGCGCCTGCCTCCTCCTCCCAACTCCCTCCAGCTCGGTGCTCTCTCAGGGGCGTGTCCTGCCCAACCTCCCTCTCACTGTGGTCCACTCAGCTGGTTCCAGCAGCAGCAGAGCGGCGGCAGCAGCCAGCGGGAGCGAGAGGAGCGGGAGCTCAGGTTTCCACGACTGGAGCGGTGGCGGCGGAGGCAGCTCAGGGTCTGGCACCTGTGCTGAGCAGGAGTAGGACGAGGGGGTAGGGTTGGGGCCAGCCACTGCGAGCCAGAGAAGGACCGGACTCCTCCGACTGGGATTCCACGGCTGGGGAACAGCCTCGGGCTGGCAGGGGAGGTGGCTCCGAGCTGGGGATGCTGTCTCGGGGAAGCATGTGCAGGGACAGCTAGAGGCCTCCTCCTCGGGGCAGGTAAACCTTTGGCCCGAGGGTAGAGAGCCCGGGAGAGCGGTGCCCGGGACCATGACAAGCTTCCGCCTGGACTTCGGGGAGGTGGAAACTTTCCTGGACCGGCACCCAGAGTTATTTGAAGATTACTTGATGCGCAAGGGGAAGCAGGAGATGGTGGAGAAGTGGCTGCAGAGGCACAATCAGGGTCAGGGGGCTCCGGGCTCCAGGCCTGCTCTGGCTGGCACGGGTCGTGTGGCCCACGGCAGTGGCAGAGGCGGGAGCATCGTTGGGGGCAGCACCGGACCACATGGCTCTCCCAGCAGTCAGCCCACTCCTGGCGGTGGGGACTGTGGCGGGGTTCCCTTGAGTCCCTGCTGGGCCAGTGGCTGCCGGGGTAATGGGAGCTTGCAGCGGAGAGCTTCTCAGAAAGAGCTCAGGAAGAGTTTTGCCCGCTCCAAGGCCATCCACGTGAACAGGACCTACGATGAACAGGTGACCTCCAGGGCCCAGGAGCCCCTGAGCAGCGTGCGGCGGAGGGCCCTTCTCCGGAAGGCCAGCTCTCTGCCCCCCACCACAGCTCATATCCTCAGTGCCCTGCTGGAGTCAAGGGTGAATCTGCCTCAGTACCCACCTCCGGCCATCGACTACAAGTGCCACCTCAAAAAGCATAATGAGCGTCAGTTCTTCCTGGAACTGGTCAAGGATATCTCCAATGACCTTGACCTCACCAGCCTGAGCTACAAAATCCTCATCTTTGTCTGTCTCATGGTGGATGCTGACCGATGCTCTCTCTTCCTAGTGGAAGGGGCAGCTGCTGGCAAGAAGAGCTTGGTCTCCAAGTTCTTTGATGTGCATGCAGGAACCCCACTGCTGCCTTGCAGCAGCACAGAGAACTCAAATGAGGTGCAGGTCCCCTGGGGCAAAGGCATCATTGGCTATGTCGGGGAGCATGGAGAAACCGTCAACATTCCTGATGCCTACCAGGTAGGACTTTGCCTTGTCCTGTCTTCCCCAGGCCCTCTGGCTTGGGAGCTGAGCCTTCCATTACCCTGTGGCATCCAGGAATAGCATTAATTTAGACTCTTCACAATATAATCTTACTATTTAAATTTCATCTTGAGTTAGACTTGTTAGCGTGTTGTAACGTCATCTTTGATGTAATGGTCTTTTCCTGACACACAGTGGCTTTTGGGAAGTGCATATATTATACAGTAATAGCACGTGTTTCTCTACCAAAATAGTCTCTCATTAAGAATATTAGTTTATGGTTTTAGAGTGCAGTTGTGAACAGCTAGAAAAGCATGTCTGCTCTGGAATTCCAGTGTTAAATCTGAAGAAAATGGGTATTTTGTTATCTCTGCTGTTTGGGGGTACCATAATGCTTCTTCATTCTCCAATTTAAGGTTGGAAAGGGAAAAGAATACCTAAGTATTTCCCTACCCTTCTCTATCTTAATCTTTCATGGGGTCTGAGGTAGGAAAGAAGAGGTAAAGAGAGACAAAGACAGACGACTAGGCCTCTGACGCATTTGTCCTGTTTCAGTATCCATTTAATTGTTTCTGCTGTTGAGTTTAGAGAGGTTGGACAAATGGAAGGGCTAGTTATCTTTAGGTTTGTATACATTATCTGTAGTCAGCTTTTAACAGGACTCAGCAAGTAGTGTTTTAGTTTGCAAAATATACAAAAAACAATTGATAAAGTTGTAGCAGCTCCAGAAGCAATCGGCAGGGTAAACATGCTCATTTGACATGGGAAAAAAACCAACATGCATTTGTCTAGTTTTCCTAACCTTTCATTTTTGCAGTGATTTGAACTTGTTATTAGATGCTGGATCTGAAAGCCAGTCAGTTTTAATTTCTTCAGTATCTACTTACTACACTTGATGAAGCTGGATGTCACTTTCTACCAGACTTCTTCAGAGTTCATAAGAATTAAAAGTTCTTATCCTTGATTATCAATGTTTTGTAGTCATTTGGTGACTATTTCTGCCAGTTGTATCATGGAGGTTTATGCCTGTCAAGATTTTGATTGCTGTCAATCGGAATAGTAAAAGTAGTTGGCAAGGACAGTAAATGTAAGATTTTCCCTATTTCATCTGAAAGTTTACTATTTTACATAGAAAATTGACTAAGTTGTACTAAAAAGGAATGTCATATTTTTGTGAGATGTCTCTCAACAAAACCCTTTAAGTACTAAGGGATGCCTATCCAAAAGCTATTTTTGTTATCCTTTTGTTATAGATTAGGTGCATTATTTATTATATCTTTCCTGAAGAATTTTTTGGTTTAAGTCTAGGAACCAATTAATGATTTGCAACAAGTGTGTATTTCTTTACAATCTTAAGAAAACCATGGAAAAATAATTTAATAATTGATATGTTGAAGAATCTGTAAAATATTGGTAAGCTGTTACTAATGTTTTCCCTATTGCAGTATTTCCACATCCTTATTGTGTGCTTGAAC